TAGGTATTTTGATAGTTCGAGAATGGCCGTTCCGGCCTACAAATTATAGGTCTTTTTTTAAAAATTGGAACGGCCCATTCCAATTTGGGAACGGCCCGTTCCGGGCTAAAATATTTAGGTATTTTGATAGTTCGAGAATGGCCGTTCCGGCCTACAAATTATAGGTCTTTTTTTAAAAATTGGAACGGCCCATTCCAATTTGGGAACGGCCCGTTCCGGGCTTGAAATTTTGTCCTTTTTTATTCTTTTTTGCATATACCTATTTTTCTATTTTTTAAGAACAAAATTAATATTTCCCGGATGAAATTGGGTTACTACATCATCGTTGATCGAACATTGGTCGGTGTCGTCGTCGTCGGCATAGTGCTCGGCCCAGGCACATCCTTAGCCGAGGAGGGTACTCGGGAGGGAAACCTGGGGCGCGAGTGCACATTTCAAACTTGACCGAGGATTGCTCGGGTTTAGTACGCGTTGTGCGTAGTGCTCGGCCTGGGGCACGAGTGTGTTTTTCGTCGTTGATCGAACATTGGTCGGTGTCGTCATCGTCGGCATAGTGCTCGGCCCAGGCACATCCTTAGCCGAGGAGGGTACTCGGGAGGGAAACCTGGGGCGCGAGTGCACATTTCAAACTTGACTGAGGATTGCTCGGGTTTAGTACGCGTTGTGCGTAGTGCTCGGCCTGGGGCACGAGTGTGTTTTTCGTCGTCGACCAAATGTTGGTCGGTGTCATTGCTTCCATGGGTAGTGCTCGACCTGGGCATACAATAAAATTGCAAACGATATAATGAGATTTTGGAACTTTTATCAATGAAGTGCCTCGTTAAAAACCTTGCCGACCCAAAACCCTCCTTAGGGAAAAAAGAGTCGGCTAAGGAAAAGAGTGCACTGTTACATCAGCTGTAATACATTTTCAAATGAGAAGAATTCCAGGTTCTCGGAATTGGTTCTCCAGCTTGTACGCTCCGTTGTTCAGGTTGTGTCGGATTCGGAAGGGACCATCCCAGTTTGGGGCGAGTTTCCCATGTCTCGGATCTTTCCTTGCCTCGCCTGTGGCTCTCCAAATGAGGTCGCCTTCGCGAAATTCTCTAGGCTTTACCTTGCTGTCAAATCTTCTTTTGTAACGTTGTTTGGTGGCCTCGGCCATGACTTGTGCTTGGTCTCGAACTTCTTCCACGTTATCCAGGTTTGCCCGGAGCTCGGCTTCGTTGTTCGACTCGTCGTAGTGGGCTCGGCGGAACGAAGGTTCTCCGATTTCCACTAGGATCATTGCATCGGATCCATAGACTAGGCGAAAATGAGTTTCTTGCGTAGTCTACTGAGGGGTGCATCGGTAGGCCCATAGCACTTCGGGTAACTGCTCGGCCCATGCCCCTTTTGTTTCTCCAAGGCGTTTCTTCAACTCTGCCAAGATGACTTTATTGGCCGACACGGCCTGACCATTCGTCTGCAGGTGTTCGACCGACGTGACCTTATGTTGTATGCCCAAGCCGTTTAGGAATTCATTTAGTTTTCGGTCGGTAAATTGAAGGCTGTTGTCGGTTACCAGAGTGTGCGGGACACCGAACCGGGTAATGATGTTCCTCCGTAGAAATTTCTGGACTTGACGAGCCGAAATGCGTGCCAAGGGCTCGACTTCGATCCATTTGGTGAATAGGTCGACGACGACGATGAGGAACTTGCATTGTCCCTTGGCAACTGGGAAGGGTCCGAGTATGTCGGCCCCCCACGTGGCGAACGGCCAGGCTTGAGGAATGCAATGTAGCTGCTCGGCCGGTTGATGAATCAAGTTGCCATGTCTCTGGCATGGCTGACATCTATTTCGAACGCTGCACAGTCGGTGTTCATGGTCGGCCAATAGTACCCAGCTCGTAGGAGTTTAGATACGGTCATCCTTGCCCCCGAATGCAGTCCGCATATACCCTCGTGCACTTCTCTCGTCACATAGTCAGCCTCGGCGGAATTTAGGCACTTAAGTAACGGGGTAGAGAAACCGCGTTTGTACAGCTGGCCGGCGATGACAACGTATCTACTGGCTTGGGTTCTTAATCGTTTGGCCTCGGTCTGGTCGGTTGGCGTGACTCCACTTATGAGGAACTCTTTGATTTCGGTTCGCCAGTCTTCAGAGTCGTTTTGATCGGCATGGTCGGCAATGACATTTGCAACCACTTCTGCATCGATGCTAGGGCGATCGAACTCTTGCTGAATGATCGTTCTCAGATGTCCTGGCTTCTTGGTCGCGGCAAGCCTAGCTAACTGGTCGGCCCGGGTGTTGTCTTCGCGCGGGATGTGCTCGACCTGCACCTCTTGAAAGCTCGCTTTCATTTTTTGATAGGCATGATAGTACTTCATCATGTTGTGGTCTTTTACTTGGAAGCTTCCGCCAACTTGCTCGGCCACCACTTTGGAGTCGGTTTGGCATTTGATTTTTGATGCACCCATGTCCTCGACCATTCTCAATCCTGCCAATAGAGCCTCGTATTCGGCTTGGTTGTTCGAGGCTTTGAACCGAAAACGCAACGATTGTTCCAAGGTTATCCCTCTCGGTCCCTCTAAGATCACTCATGCCCCGCTCCCCTGGCTGTTTGAGGATCCATCTACATGGAGGGTCCACCACTGTTCCTCGAATTGGCCATGTGGGTGAAGTTCATTTATGAAGTCGGCCAAACACTGAGCCTTGATTGGTCCCCTTGGTTTGAAGGTGATGTCGAACTGTGAGAGTTCCATCGACCAGGCCATCATTCTTCCGGCGAGTTCGGGTTTGCATAATACCTTAGCGATGGGACAGTCGATGTGTACGACGATTCGGTGGCTTTGGAAGTAATGGCGCAGGCGTCGGGAAGTGTGTACTAGACCGAGCGCCACCTTTTTGATCAACTGGTACCGGGTTTCTGAGTTTTGTTGAAGTCGGCTGACAAAATATATAGGAGCTTGGTTGCCTTCTTTTTCTTGCACGAGAACCGAGCTGATCGCCTCCTCGGACACGGCTAAGTATACAAGTATCGGGCACAGAGGATCAGGCTTCGTAAGGGTCGGTGGTGTCGCCAAGATCGTCTTCAACGCCGTGAAGGCTATTTCGCAGTGTTCATCCCATGAGAAGACCGACGCCTTCCATAGGAGTTTTGTCATGGGGTTTATTTTGTCGCCTAACCGTGGGAGGAATCGGGATAAGGCGACTAATCTTCCAGAGAAGCGTTGCAATTCCTTTAGGTTGCTTGGGCTTCGCATGTCCAGCAAGGCCTGACATTTGTCTCGGTTCGCTTCTATGCCTCTCGCCGATAGCATGAAACCTAGGAATTTGTCTCCCTTGACCCCGAAGGTACATTTCTCAGGGTTGAGTCTCATGTTGTGCTTGCGGAGCTCACCGAAGATTTCGGCCAGGTCGGTTAAGTGTTCGGCCAGAGAGTTGGACTTTATCACCATATCATCCACATATATCTCGATGTTCTGGCCAATCTGACCGTGAAACACCTTGTCCATTAACCTCTGGTAGGTAGCCCCGACATTCTTCAACCCAAACGACATTACTTTATAACAAAAATTTGCATTCTCGGTTATGAACGCTGTCTTTTCTTCGTCGGCTGGGTGCATTTTGATCTGGTTGTAGCTGGAGTAGGTGTCTAGGAAGCTAAATATAGCATGCTCGGAAGCGCCGTCAACGAGTCTGTCAATGCATGGGAGTGGATAGGCGTCCTTAGGACATGCTTTGTTGAGGTCGATGTAGTCGGTGCACATTCTCCACTTCCCATTCGACTTTTTCACTAACACCACATTAGCCAGCCACGTGGTGTATGTGACCTCTCGGATGAACCTCGCATGTCAAAGTTTTTGTACCTCGGCATCTTTTCTCCTCTCTCATCTTTCTCTTCTTTTGAGCAACCGGTCGGGCGTCCCAGCATACAGCCAATCGATGACACAAGAAGTTTGGATCTATCCCCGGCATATCGGCCACCGTCCATGCGTATAGGTCTTTGTTATCTCTAACTGCTCGTTTCATCCGGTCAGAATCAGCTTTACTCAGTTGGGATCCCAATTGAGTAACCTGTTCGGGCTCTCGCCCCAGCTGAAACGGGACAAGGTCCTCTGCGGGATCGATTCGCTCTTCTTCTCCCAAACGAGGGTCAAGGTCGATGTACTCAGCCTCTCTTGTCGGACCACGTTTACGCCTCTCGTCGTCTCATGGGGGACGGCCATCGGTTGCACCTTCAAGCTAGAAAGGTAGCATTCTCTTGCTGTTTTCTGATCGGCGTGTACGGTGATTACCTGCCCATTCCTTGACGAAAATTTCATGCATAGGTGAGGTGTCGAAACAATGGCCCCCAGCGCATTGATTGATGGTCGGCCAAGAAGAATGTTGTACGATGTGTTTGCGTGCACCACAATGTAACGGATTTTGATCTCCCGGAAAGACTGTTGGTCGAACCCGAAGCGGGTATATAGGTCGATGCATCCCCTCGTCATCACTCTTTCGCCCGAGAAGCCGACTAGTGGTTCGTGGTATGACTCTAAGCTCTCCTCTGGGATTCTGAGCTGCACAAAAGTATTCCAGTACAAGATGTCGGTCGAGCTCCCCTGGTCGACCAATGTTTTCTTCACAATGCAGTTGTGCATCTCGACCGAAATCACCATGGGGTCGTCTTGTATGGGGTCGACCCCTCGGAAATCCTGGACGGAAAAGGTTATAGGCGGAATTCTGGGCATCCTCGATTGGTTCACACTTTTTATTGATCGGACGGCCCGGAGGTGTCGTTTTCGTGCCGATGAGGTGGACCCGCCTCCGGCGAAACCTCCGGCTATTGTGTTGATCACCTTCCGTGGTCGGTCATCGTCTCCCCTGGGGCGCTGTGATCGATCCTGCCTTTCGGTTGAACGCGATCGACGACGTCGGTCTCTCGGCGGACGAGCTTCACGAGAGTGGATGTCTCTTTCCCGTGACGTGTAGTCTTGAATGGTGATAAAGCTTCTGAGGTGACCCTGTTTGATAAGGTCCTCGAGCTTGTCCTTCAGGGCAGAGCATTCTTCGGTGGAGTGCCCCCTGTTTCGGTGAAATCGGCACGCCTTGGCTTTGTCGGCTCTAGGGGTGTGTTCGCCCTTTTCGACATTGCAAGGATTTCTGATGCGAGGGCCTGCTCCATCACTTTGGCTCTACTCGCATTGAGGGGAGTGTATGCCGCGTAGCGAGGTCCTTTTGGGGGGCGAGTATTCGAGGGCTCGACGTGCACCTTTTTCACCTGCTCTCGGCCAGATTCTTTCTGGTTAAAATTTTCTTCGACCCTGGCCTGGTTCCGGGTCTTCGCAAGTTCTTCCATTTGCATGTACTTCTCTGCTCGGCACCGGAGGTCGTTCATATCAACTGGGGGCTTCTTACACAAGCTGTTCACAAATGGTCCCGGCCTGAGGGCCGTGCTTAGCCGATCCAATGCCACGGCGGGATTAAGATCTCCAATCTCCATCGCAATCTTGTTAAATCTGTCCATGAAGCTTCTTAGGTTTTCCTTCTTCTCTTGACGGATCCCCGCCGAGGCTAAAGAGGTCGTCTTGTACGGCTTGCTCGTTGCGAATTGTAGGGCGAACTGGGACGACAACTCGCTAAACGAGTCTATGGAGGCGCTCGGCAACCTCGTGAACCAGCTCAATGCTCTTCCCTTCAGCGATGTGGGAAATATTCGGCACAAAGCTGAGTCGTCCTGAGTGGAGAGGGTCGCCTGAGTCAAGAAGACGTTCAAATGTTCCTCGAGGTCAGATGATCCGTCGTATTTCTCAATCGGCATGCTTTTCCAATGGTCTAGCAGGGTTGCTTCCATTATTCTTCGGGAAAAAGGATGCCTTAGGGAGTGAGTGGTGGTATCGGCCTTGTTAGCTATGAACGAGGTGATCGGGGTTCGGGTCACGTGGTCGGTCGGGGCATGATATGCCGACTCCTCTTGGAGGGTAGGGGTTGACGGTATATACGTTTGGTTAAGGCTTCGGAGCTCGGCATTT